AGTAGCTTAGAATTATACTCTATCGTGAGGTTTAGTAACTAAGCATCAAACTTAAGTGTAAAATACAGTAGCTTAGAATTATACTCTATCATGAGGTTTAGTAACTAAGCATTAAACTTAAGTGTAAAATACAGTAGCTTAGAATTATACTCTATCGTGAGGTTTAGTAACTAAGCATCAAACTTAAGTGTGAAATATAGTAGCTTAGAATTATACTCTATCGTGATGTATAGTAACTAAGCATCAAACTTAAGTGTAAAATACAGTAGCTTAGAATTATACTCTATCATGAGGTTTAGTAACTAAGCATTAAACTTAAGTGTAAAATACAGTAGCTTAGAATTATACTCTATCGTGAGGTTTAGTAACTAAGCATCAAACTTAAGTGTGAAATATAGTAGCTTAGAATTATACTCTATCGTGATGTATAGTAACTAAGCATCAAACTTAAGTGTGAAATATAGTAGCTTAGAATTATACTCTATCGTGATGTATAGTAGCTAAGCATCAAACTTAAGTGTGAAATATAGTAGCTTAGAATTATACTCTATCGTGATGTATAGTAGCTAAGCATCAAACTTAAGTGTGAAATATAGTAGCTTAGAATTATACTCTATCGTGATGTAAAGTAGCTAAGCATCAAACTTAAGTGTGAAATATAGTAGCTTAGAATTATACTCTATCGTGAGGTATAGTAGGTAGGCATTTAGCTGACACATGAGGTACAGTAGCCCAGGATTAAATTTCAGTGTAGGGAATAATAGCTAAGTATGATATGTATATGTATGTATGATATAACGTAGCTGTGTGAGGCAGTAAAATACTTTGTTTATGTTACTGGTAAGACTGCATGTGTTTATAACGTTTGAAAATTCCAACAAATGACTATAATCATTATTAAGTGTGACAATTTAAGTTCAGCATAATGTCAAGTGACTTACTAGTATTGAATCGTATACAATCACTGGAAGTCGTGTGCAGTAAGCCTTTCTGGGTTACTCACGTCATAGTATACAGATGCAGAATAACGATGATAAAATGTAAAATGTCCCCTTCAATGCCAGCTTATTTTCGACGGTTCACTTTTCCAGACACCTAGTTAACGTAATAATAGAGTCCACTGATGACAAACGATGTACTTAGTGTAGGAAGATACTGACGGATAGTACCCTGACATGTGATAAACAGGTCATGTGTCAGTAGCTGAGTAACACACCACCTCTTTGTCAATTCCCTACTGATACGAGGCCATGTGATGTACACCGCTAATACAACGCTTAGCTGTCTTTATTTCATGTTTTTTTATAGTAAGGTCGAAAGATAGGTACTGTTTAATATCCAGTACAATTTTACGTTTAGATAATAAAAATGATTGATAGTGAACAAAGGTGATTGGCAGCATTTGACTGAAAAGGTTTATATGTATATGCATATATATATGTGTGTGTGTGTATATAAGGAATTTCTCCCACTTATATAGGTTTCCTCAGTCACGACTGTCATTGGATGTTCGGTTACCTCTAGTCGGTAACACCCTGGACGTTATTTCGTTGGTTAATATTCTAATTATGACGTCAAGTAAATATGCCTTGCGACGTCATCTCCTATTGTGGCGACATAGAACCTACAATTGCTTCCCAGATCGGAAACAAGAATTATGTATTCCCAAGAGAAACATGATTTTCTAGACATAATATCTTATCGTTGTGGGAGAATTAAACTGTCAACCTCGTGTTTTTATACAGTTTAAAATCATTTTACTCGAGTAAAATAAAAACGATAACCAACCTCCCCTCCTCTCGTTGGAGAACCTCTATATCCCCGGTGTGGATGACATCATTTACTAGAAATATAAGTGTAATAACTTGGTACAGCCAACAGCTGTGTTTCTAAGGTTATTAAGTGTTTAAACCACACATTTCTCTATTCGTCTTGGTTTGGAACTCTTGAGACATGGCCATGTGTTTCTAAGGTTATTAAGTGTTTAAACCACCCATTTCTCTATTCGTCTTGATTTGGAACTCTTGAGACATGGCCATGTGTTCAGGTTATTAAGTGTTTAAACCACACATTTCTCTATTCGTCTTGGTTTGGAACTCTTGAGACATGGCCATGTGTTTCTAAGGTTATTAAGTGTTTAAATCGCCCATTTCTCTATTCGTCTTGATTTGGAACTCTTGAGACATGGCCATGTGTTCAGGTTATTAATTGTTTAAACCACACATTTCACTATTCGTCTTGGTTTTGAACTCTTGAGACATGGCCATGTGTTCAGGTTAGTAAGTGTTTAAACCACACATTTCACTATTCGTCGTGGTTTGGAACTCTTGAAACATGGCCATGTGTTCAGGTTATTAAGTGTTTAAACGACACATTTCACTATTCGTCTTGGTTTGGAACTCTTGAGACATGGCCATGTGTTTCTAAGGTTATTAAGTGATTAAATCGCCCATTTCTCTATTCGTCTTGATTTGGAACTCTTGGGACATGGCCATGTGTTCAGGTTATTAAGTGTTTAAACGACACATTTCACTATTCGTCTTGGTTTGGAACTCTTGAGACATGGCCATGTGTTCAAGTTATTAAGTGTTTAAACCACACATTTCACTATTCGTCTTGGTTTGGAACTCTTGAGACAAGGCCATGTGTTCAGGTTATTAAGTGTTTAAACGACACATTTCACTATTCGTCTTGGTTTGGAACTCTTGAAACATGGCCATGTGTTCAGGTTATTAAGTGTTTAAACGACACATTTCACTATTCGTCTTGGTTTGGAACTCTTGAAACATGGCCATGTGTTCAGGTTATTAAGTGTTTAAACGACACATTTCACTATTCGTCTTGGTTTGGAACTCTTGAGACAAGGCCATGTGTTCAGGTTATTAAGTGTTTAAACGACACATTTCACTATTCGTCTTGGTTTGGAACTCTTGAGACATGGCCATGTGTTTCTAAGGTTATTAAGTGTTTAAATCGCCCATTTCTCTATTCGTCTTGATTTGGAACTCTTGGGACATGGCCATGTGTTCAGGTTATTAAGTGTTTAAACCACACATTTCTCTATTCGTCTTAGTTTGGAACTCTTGAGACATGGCCATGTGTTCAAGTTATTAAGTGTTTAAACCACACATTTCACTATTCGTCTTGGTTTGGAACTCTTGAGACATGGCCATGTGTTCAGGTTATTTATTTATTTATTTTCCTGTATGGGTTCTTTGTCGTTCAATGTTTCTAACGGGTATTTCCTTACTTTTGTATTTCTGTTGGATATGCTATTGCCACAAGTTTATTCCACACTAGTAACGTCTTCATGATTTCAATAACAACCACATTGACCAACCGTGTGTATGGTAAACTGTTAATAACGCTATTTGAGGTTTTTTACAGTCTAAGAGGACCAAACTGTAATCTGCGAAAACAGATATAAATACTTACAATAGCTTTATTCAAAGTAAGCCAGGCATTTCTTCCTTCTTTAAATAGTCAGCACATTTTATGCTTGAAGTATATCCAACTATTTTATTTTTAAGATTATGAACGACATTTTACTGAATGAATACAGCACGGAGAGGTCGAAAAAAAATCCTATTTGAAGACAATCCTTTATCTAGGACTATTTTAAATTGCACAAAACGTCAACAGCAACAACGTACCACGAGAATCACTAGTTTTCTTCTTGTTGTTTTTCGTAATCGTAAACACGGAAACCCAAGCTTAATTAAAAGTTAAATAGAAAAAATAAAAAGCTTGTATAAACCAAGTGGACGCTCCATTTATATCTGGACATCTCTACGTTATCACACAACATGGAGGATACAAATCAGGATTAACATAATAATCAATGTACTGTGATTCTTAGCATACTTAACCTCTTTACCGGGATTCAAAAATGTGTTATTAGATTTTCTTTCAGCATCGGTTCGTTCTAGTAAGAACCAACAAAACACAGCGCAGATTTGTTGAAACCCTTCATATGACATAAGGCCAAAGCGAGTGTAATCGACTATACCGATAACACGTTATGAGATTTGTTTTCTCGAAATTGATAAGTTACATGGTCAACAGAATACTAATATGAGGTTGGTGAATTTTTATTACTGGTGTGAAATTTGAACTGTAATTACGTTCAAATAAAAAATCATTGCTTTCCAACTGCTGCGTTTGTTGGTCATGTTTTATCACGTTCATCTTAAGGCAAATTTTGTTACTCTTTAAAAGGACTGTTCACGTATGTGTACTAAATAATTCCTGGTTAAGTTATGAAATAGAAATGTACATTGTGACGTTTTCATCGGACTTTAAAATTCATGTGTTAATATATACTGTATTATAACTGTTAACTGAACCCTGCAAGTGATGTAGTAGTGTTAAATGATATCAAAGTTCACTGCTTCGTGTTGAATGATGTTAACTGATATTAACGAAAGAAAAGAACACGTCCAGTATGTAACAATCCTGACTTTTTTCATACTGGGAAATAATGAACAAAGTGATATGTTTTCACGCTTAAGTAATTCTTATTTTCATATTAATTTGACGATCAGTTTACTTGGAAGAAACATACATTATCCATTGCTATTTATTAAAACGTGAAGTCTAGCCTCGATGCATAGTGTTTCAGGAACCATTTCTTTAATAACATTAAATCTCTTAAATCTCTTTTCGAACACATAACTGTCATTTCAATTTTAGGCTATCTGAAAGCTGTTGGTCTTTATAATAAAAGTTTAGTCACCATATCCACTTTCACTATTCAATTTGACGTTTGTCTTTCACCTTTAAGTTTGATTTTATGTTTTTATTTAGCATTTGTTTTTGTCGACCATTTGTTGGCCCTAATGACCTATCCTGTGTTGGTGGGCCGTTAAGCATTGGCAATAATAATAATAAAGATATTTGGAAGAAAGGCAAAGTTATTGGTTATTTCTTGTTACACATTTAAGAACAATCGTAATTTTAGTACGATAGGGTAGTCGAGTGTCGCAGTGGATAGCGCTCTTGCCTTTCACCAAGGCGGCCGGGGTTCGATTTCCCGATCGGACGTGTAAAGGTATGGGGTCACCAGCCCGACCACGTGGACTTTCTTCTGGTACTCCGGTTTCCTCCCACAATAAGACCTCCCAGCGCGCTAATATCCGGGCCAACAAGAGTGATTAATATAAGTTGTAAAACAAATATTCATAATTGTTGAAAAATAAGTTCTCATGCATTAACCTTAGTTATCTCAAGTTTATCAACGATATCTTGTGACGTAACAAAAACCGTAACATAAGGCACGGAAAAATAATCTATATACACTCGGCTTATTATTTATATGTTTATAGTATATGAATGAGATAATATGGAACTCTAGACGTTAAATTCTAAATTGAACAGAGCACTAAATCTCGATTTAAGAACAAGATAAATACGGGGTTTGACTTCGTCCAGATTTTTATGGACGTTCATGATATTTTTCTCTGTCTTCGTTGAAAAATAAGACATATCGCGACTTCATGTACATGGCATATATTTGATTCAAAAAAAGATACCGTTAATAAAAGAAATCACACCAAGAGCGCATAAAATTAACAGGAAGAGGTACTATGGACATGAAAACTCAAATGACTTTTTGGAATGTCTAGAAATTATCAAGATAAGTTACCAAATCAAGACGATATAAAATCAAAAAGAAAAGATGACATGGATAGAAAAACTCGTACAAACCTACACGGTAGAATGGGGTCACGTTCGGATAACAAGTAAACAGAAATAAAGAATTGTGACAAGAACATGAGACAACATTAAAGTTGGTTACAGGAGAATTAGGTCTAGATTAAACATTAGCAAGGACACTGTATACTTACAGTAATAGACATGTGGTTAGAAACGAAAGACCGGCAAATACCAGGATAACGAAACCCCGCATGGTACCAACAGTAGCTATGTATGTGGCCGACGCTCCTAAATTTGTTCCCATATATGAATCTATCTTAACTACGGCTATACCCGCAAACAGAGCACCTAAAATGTACATAATATGCCACCTACAAGGATAAAAATAGGATAGCTACAAAGATATATAATAGGATACCTACAATGGTAACAATAGGATACCT